GGGTCAATTTTTGCTGGGGGTGAATCAAAAAAAAATCAGATCTCAGAGGAAAACTGGGGTTTGGAGAGGTTTGGGCTGAGCTGCCACGAGCAGCAAACGCAGGGCTGGGGCTGTCCCTGCGGATCCTCAGCGCTGGGATTTTTATTGCATCATCCTCGGGCCTGGGCACCTCTGGAAAAGCTGGAAAATGCTGGCTCAGCCCCTCTGCAACACCCCCACCTTCCCCTCCTCGTGTCTTTGCTTCCCTTTCCTCATTTACTCTCCATTGTGGCTGATTATTTACACTCTCAACTGTCTTTGTGCCATGAACTTTTCCCACTTCCTTCAGTTTGTTCCAGGCTGGATTTGCTGGTGCCTGGTTGTTTACAGGGGATTTCCTTCCCTGGCACTTCCATCCCTGCCCAAAGTCACTTTTCCAGGGTTTCCCATTAGAATTTGGTTCATTTTTCCATGGTTTCCATCAGTTTTCCACCTCCCCTTTGCAGCCCAGCCGTGGCAGCCTGTTCCTGTGAGCTCTGCACTTGGAGTTTCCTGGGAATACGGATTTTCCACAACTGTTCGGTGTCCTGGGGCTCCAAAGAGCTGGAATTTGGGGCGAGGGGCAGAACTGAGGTCGCTCCCAACCCAGAATATTCCCAGGAGCGGGGAGCTGAGCTCTTGGAAGGTGCCTAGAGCAGCATTCTGAGCCTGTGTTTGCTCAAGCACTTACATTTGTTTATGGAGATTATTTTCATTTCTGCTCCTGGGCAAACACAAAAAGGGTCACCCCAGAGCACACCTGCACCCCAGGGAGCCTGAGCTGAGGATTGGGGCTGGATCAGCTCTTGGAATAAGAGAAACACCCCCGAAGCACCCATCTGAACTCTTTCCAAGGGGCTTCTCTGGGCACAGACCCCGGTGACTTTGGATGTTTCCAGCCTGGAGGAGCTGGGAAGGGCTGTGAGGTTTCCTTGTTTGGAGCTCTGGAATTCCCCTCAGCCAGGGATTGCAGGGATGCTGGAGGGGTGGGGACAGGTGGGATTTATCCCATTGCTGACATGCTCCAGGAGCATCAAAATACTTCTGGTTAAGAGGCTTTTATTCTCTTTTTATTCCTTTTTTTTTTTTTTTTTTTTGCTAAAATAAATAAATAAAAATATCTGAATGTGAGGCAGGTTTGGGCTGTTTTTTTTAATTTAATTTTTTTTTTTTTTCCCCTAAACAGCTCTGCCAGCAGGAGGCAGATCCTGACGTGTCCAAGGCCAGGTTGGATCCCTTGATCCATGGAAATTGTCTCTGGAAGGAGATGAGCTGTAAGGTCCTTTCCCACCCAAACCGTTCTGGGATTTTAGAACCATCGAATTTGCGTGTAGAACACAAATATCCTAACAGCTAACACCCACAGTATGAATATTATCTCGGTTTTTATGAATGATACCGGCTGTATCCGTACCCACACCGAGGGAGGGTGGGATGGACACCCGAGGGGGCGAGGACGAGGGGGGCGAGCAGGAGCTCCGGGGGTGTTCAGGGGTGTCCTGGAGGTGTCCAGGGGGTGTCCGGGGGTGTCCGGGGGTGTCCAGGGGTGTCCTGGAGGTGTCCAGGGGGTGTCCGGGAGTGTCTGGGGGGTGTCCGGAGGGAGTCCAAGAGTGTTTGGGGATGTCCAAGGGTGTCTGGGGGTGTTCGGGGATATCAGGGGGAGTGTCCGGGAGTGTTTGGGGGTGTTCGGGGATATCAGGGGGAGTGTCCG